CAGGGACACCTCCTGCTAGACCAGGTTGCTCAAAGCCCTATCCAGCCTCGTCTTGAACACCTCCAGGGATGGAGCAAGAACACGGTCGTCTTGTTCATAAGAGTTCAGCTCAACTTCACAAGTCAGTAGGGAGCTAGCACAGGGCCATGCCATCTTCAGATCTTCCTGACTTGGAAACAAAGGAGTGGGAAGCATCTTGCAGGAAAACAGAAATGCCCTTTTTTTCCCAGCTACCGACATAAAGAAATTTTACCAAATGATGCAATAATCCCAATGGAAACAGCTAAAAGTTTAAAATCTGATGTACAGAGCAGTTAAAAGCAGTATCTTCCTTAAAACAGCATCTTTCTTAAAACTGCACTCTCAATAAGCACTGGTATTCAGTGAAAGGACAGGAGGTACAAACTGAGATACACAAAATGTGATTTAAACACGGGAAAACACATTTTTACAACGAGGGTAGGACACTGGAATGGTCGAACAGAGAAGCTGTTTCATCTTTGGAAATAATCAAAACCTGACCAGGCATGGCCCTGAGCAACCTGTTCTAGGTGATCCTTCTCCAAGTAAGCGGTTGGACAAGATGATATCCAGAGGTGCCTTCCAGCATCCATAACTGTTACTCCAGCACAGTGACCTACCATGCACATTCACAATGCGAACTCAAATTAAATGTATTAAATTTGTACTGTTTGCATAACACAAGGTGTTTATTGCTTGGGGTAAAGAACTATCTTCCTTCTTTTGGGAACTATGGCACAAATGTGTACAGAGAAGGTATAACCTGTAGCCTGTCTCAGGTTGTCAATAAACTAGAAGGGCAATAATTTTCTTCTGAAAAGAAAATAGAGGAATTATTCTTTAAATAACAACTCAAGCATCAAGAAAAGAAAAAGCTTAAATTTTCAAAGAAACTCAACCTTCAGAACATACTGCTCAACGGGGAAATACAGCAGACAAGTGAAAAGGTTGGGCCTCTGAGCAACAGTTACTATTAGGTCAAGCTGTCCCATGCACTCAGTAACACAGCTCGTATGCAAGTCATATTTCTGTTCAAATTTCAAAAGCTTTTGTTTGAAGAAATGACAATGTGATTGAAAGGGCATTAAGGTGGCTGTGACAAGCCTAGACATGCTGGATTCACAAATATCTCCATGCTGGTACATGCTATATTCTGCTATTAAAGGTACGGGGAATTCCTTCATGAAAGTCAACATTTTTTACCTTATGGCACATTCTGAAATAGCCCACTGACAATAACATAGTTACCAAGTACTGATAATCACTGAAAGATAAGTTAAAGTGATTTAAACATTTTCATGGTGTCTAATAACAGAGAATGGACTACAGAAACGGTTATGCAGTCTGACTGAAACTACGGTCCTAATTATCACAGATTATCATGGAATTGCCAGAGTTGGAAGGGACCTCTAGAGATCATCTAGTCCAACTCCCCTGCCAAAGCAGGATTGCCCAGAGCACATCACTCAGGACTACATCCAGGTGGGTCTTGAAGATCTCCAGGGAAGGGGACTCCACACCCTCCCTGGGCAGCCTGTTCCAGGGCTCTGTCACCCTCACCAGAAATTTCCTCCTCATATTTGAGTGGAACTTCCCATGTTCCAGCTTGTGCCCTTTGCCACTCATCCCTGTCACAGGGAACCACTGAAAAGAGTCTGGCTCCATCCTCCTTCAACCCACCCTTTAGATACTTACAAGCTTTTATAAAGTTTCCCCTCAGCCTTCTCTTCTCCAGGCTAAAGAGCCCCAAGCTCTCTTTTATGAGGAAAGGCTGAGAGATGCTCCAACCCCTTAATCATCTTTGTTGCCCTACGCTGGACTCTCTCCAGTAGTTCCCTGTCTCTCTTGAACTGGGGAGCCCAGAACTGGATGCAGTATTCCAGTTGTGGCCTCACCAGGGCAGAGTAGAGGGGGAGAATGACCTCCCTCGACCTACTGGCCACTCTCTTCCCTAAGCAGCCCAGGATTCCATTGGCCCTCTTAGCGATAAGGGCGTATTGCTGGTTCAATGCAACAGCACTTAGAGGATTCTGATGAAGTTAAATTTCAGTTCTAAGGAGTACACTGCAACTAATCCAGCTGGACTGTAAATTAAGATACCATTTAATCTTCCCACTTTCTCTAGTTTTCAGTCAGGAGCAACCACTACCTGACACGTTTCCAGTCACTCACAGAGATTTATTAACGCTACAAAGGAAGGAATAAATAGTGGCAGAATCGTCGTTACCACTATTGTCCCATAGCAAAAGGTCTGTCACTGTTGATGTCTGCAGAAAAGAGCAAATCCAGAAGATGAAGCCAATTTCAGAGCAACACTGGTCTGAGGGGGACTAGAGACCATACGAGAAGGGAACCGCCTATGAATAATAGCCGTTGACACAACGGTGAGATTTGGTTCCTGTGTGCAAGAAGTGATAGCCCTCAGGTATTTCACAATTCTTGTTATATATTACTCTATGACCTTCCATTTTATAGGCTGACTTTTGCTATCTAGATAATTGAAACTCGCAAACCTGGCTCTGCACTTCATGGAGTTAGTACTTTATTACCTCAATACCAGAGAGGACGAAAAGCAAAAAAAAAAAGCAAAAAATGAAGTGTCATCAATTTCTTAAGGAATAAAACACTGCCATAGGAGCTCAGTGCAGGACAGAAGGATCCAGTGTCCTGCCCACCTGACCTCCAGCTTCTGCTGGAGAAGGATCACAGCATGGATCACTGGAAAGCCTCACCTCTCATCTTCCAGCTAGGTAGGGATGTCTTGGGGCCAAAGGACATTTCAAAGGCAGGAGGCACTTACGTTTTGGCACATGAATAGAGTCCAAAGTTCGTGCTTCTCTCTAGACTAGCTGATAAACCCCTTTATGGGGTATTCAGCTACTCTGCACAACAAAAACAAGGAAAAGGACTTCCTTAATCCATCTCCATATCACTTCTTCTCAAAATGCCCCTCTTCTCCCTTTTCAGAAATTCAAATTAATCCCATCACCTCTGCTTGAATGGGAGCATCTACATGCATTTTCTTTTTTCATGCACAGAAAAAGAGGACACCATATAATAAGAGGAATATGAATGAATAAGTATCAGAGAGAGATGATTTTAAAGCAAAAGTAAAACACATTGCTAACCCCATGAAGTTGCTAACAAATAAAATATACTCAATTGTTGCAACTTTTAAAACAGGTATGCAGGACTACAATCAGAGATATGAACTGGAAACAACACCACAGATCTTACTTTGTCCCTGTAATTAAGATATTTTTATCAACGACCATGATCCAGTCACAGAAATAGAAAAGCTGATGCTTCAGAGAGTCATACAGATTAAGTCCTATGAAGATAACAAATAGGCCAAGTGCCCTCACATGTGGCTCTCATGGCTCACTTCTACAGAAATCAGTGGCAAAACCCCTTGTGGCAGTGCCAACCCCTTGGACCCAGAACGATTCATGACCCCGCAATTAGTAGATACTCCCTCTCCTGAAGGATACACACCTTTCTACAAGAGAAGCTGGAGTTATAATGAAATTCAAGAGAAATGGCTGAAGTTTTCTGGTTAGTCTTATGCAGAATGAGACTCAGTAACCTGATAGCCATTTCTGGTTTGTTTGTTCTTAATTTATCAATAATTTAAATGATCTACATTTATGCAAAAATAACAAAAGCAATCACACAGAGGAAGGAGACACAAAGGTGGAATAAGAGGTCTTCCATCTGCAGGAAGACACGACACAGGGGAAAAACATTTATATCATAATTTTCTTAATGCATTCAAAAGAATCTTAGGATTCTGTTGACACTCTATGAAGTGCTCTCCTTTATCCTACAAATAAATATAGGATAATTTTTAACTAAGTCTTTTTTCCAAGATTTACAACAGAAACCAAATGAGGTATGAGGAGAGCCCACCAAGGCATTTGATCTCCTATAGCTCGTACAAGATAATCAGCATCTCACACCAATGCAAAGGTCACATTGTGTTCTTGCTTAACTAAACTAAATTAACGAATACAGACATCGCTGAAAGCACTTCTCACTGTGTGTAAGAAAATCTCTCATCCTGCCTTCAAAGCACCTGTGCTTTGAGGAACAGATTCTACTAACCTTATTTATGTTGAAAAGTGAAAAACTTCACAAGACTTCTGTAGAAATAACAGAGTATTAGCTTCACAGTGTATGGTCCTATTCAAGGGAAGTAAGAACTCAAAAATTTATTTTTTATGTAGTTAAAAAGGAGGAACTGCCAGGTCTGTGTTACAGCCTAATAAATATTGAGAATGGCTGAATGCAAGAGCTTTCATGAAGGAAAGTATAGTGTTTATTTAAGAACACTGGTGTTTATGGTTTAGAAATTTAAGAAATACTTCATAAAGTTAGAGAAAATGTCCCCTTAGTAATTTACAGCTAGCTTGAAATTAATGACAAATGCATACTAAAATCATCACAGAAATACATTAACCTAAATATTGAAAGAAATAAAAGAAATACCTCTTTCAGGGATAAGCATTTGTGGGAATTGTATTGCCATTATTCAAACTATATATTTAGTTTCCTTCATAGCATTAATAACTATTGCTTTTGAGCTATTGGCTACTAGATAGAGAGGAGTTGTGGTTTGGGCCAGGAAATGCAGGGATAACTGAACTAGCTTAACTGAACCAGTTCAAGTAGCAGTAGTCTGGCTGTAACAGCAGGAAGATTTCACAGAATAAATGAATTGCAGCAACAATCAGAATACTTTCATCATACTCATACTTCCACTTGAAGTGAAGAAACCCCAGGCTTCTCCACACAACACAACTCTTCCCTTTCTGTCCCTTAACATGCAAAATATAAGTGAATGGATTGCCCCCAGGCAGCACACAGGCAGCAGATTTGGGAACAAAGCAGCAGACAGTTGTATTTTACTGATTTGGAGGACACATACATTGATTTTGGGTTTAAATCCACTGTATTCTTAGAAGCACCCAAGCTCTTACCTTTACATACAAGAAAATCTGACAATCTTTCTGGAAGTTGTCGGTTTCTCCGAAGTTATTGTTAGGGGGGAACATGAGGGAAGTCGAAGAGTTGGAGGAAACACTCTGGCTCCGACGCAACTGGACATCTGGAGGAAAATACACGTTGTTCTCGAACATCATGCCCTCTACGTGTTTATCTTCCAAAGTTGGGCTTATCAGATCCATGTCCTGGAACTGGTGGTCTTCTTCAGCACCATGGTGAAATAAAGAAGAACCATCCTCTCCATCAGCCCCATGCTGAGAGGCCACAGAATTCTCACAGATGTATTTTGAGCTCTCTTGACTACTATCCATGCCCTCTGGGATACTAGTGATGGAAAAAGGACCTGCTGGATCTTCACAGCCAGCCTCATGCTGAGAGACCATGGAATTCCTCCAGCTGTATTCCGACCACTCTTGACTTCTGTCCATGCTCTCTGAGGTAGTAGTGATGGAAAAAGGACCTGCTGGATCTTCACAGCCAGCCTCATGCTGAGAGACCATGGAATTCCTCCAGCTGTATTCCGACCACTCTTGACTTCTGTCCATGCTCTCTGAGGTAGTAGTGATGGAAAAAGGAGATGCTAGCGCTTCATGGACAGCCCCATGCTGAGAGACCACAAAATTCCCACAGCTGTCTTCTGAGCTCTCTTGACTTCTATCCATACTCTCTGGGACAGTAGTGATGGAAGAAGATGCTGGATCTTCATGGACAGGATCAGAAAAGTTATCCCCTTTGTCTTCATAAGAGTCTGTAATCTCATTTTCAATGGTGTCATTAACATTTTGATTAACATTGGTAAAGACCTGGTCTTCCATGACTGCCGGCTGGTGAGTTTTGCCTGCCTTCTGGTACCTTAAAAGACTACAATTAAAGCGAGATGTTGACAGGCAAACGCTCTTTAGGAGGAAGCAGCGGCTGTGGTATGTGTTCTGAATGCTCTGCTACACATGGCAGATCTCCAACAATCATTTACGGAGAGCTTTAAATCACCAACTACACTTCCACTGAAGTAAAAGATAGGGCTGTCTCACTTTTAACCCCTTGGTCAATCTGACTGCTGGTAACTATATCTTAGGAGCTGTAATCACCCTTTGCTCTTCGAGATATAGCCTGGCCAAGTACAGCGAAAAACAGCTCAAGCATCTGTCAGCATTAGAAAGCTACAGTAACAAATATGTATTCTTTCATAGGAAGTAAAAAATACTTTTACTGGAAGTCATGTATATTTTGTGTAAAGAGGTAGAAATGCAAACTTTACCCATTTGCTCATATTTTCAACACACAAAGGCCTAGCTTCAGGGGAAAGCAAGGCAAAACTGCCTCAATAATACAAGCAATCTACAATGTTACTTGTGGTTAGTTACAACATCTTCAACGAATTATAATCATTTATAAAAAACTACAAACAAACAAACAAAAAAGAGTGATATATTCACAAGAAAAAGGCAGCAGAATTGAACTCTTCCCAGTTTTGCCACTGCTGGCTGGTGAGTTTTTCCTGCCTTCTCGTACCTTAAAAGACTACAAATAAAGTGAGATGTTGACAGGCAAACGCTCTTTGAGAGGAAGCCACTTCACATTTAGTGACTTCATCTTCTCATCTATGAACTAAGGCCAAAACTGTAAAAAGTCTTGTAAGCTTCCTTGGCATCTAAGAAAAGACTGAATAAGCGTTAACTATTATTACATATACTTCATATATCAATTAATTATAATCACATTTAGATTACATATTTCCATGTCATAAGACATAGACCCAGCGTTTCAAAGCTGGGTCAGTGCAACTTGACTTCAGTGATCTAGTTAGCCACCTTGTCCATACAGCTCCTTTTCTCTAAGGAGTAGAGGCACATAAAACTCTGCAGAATGTAAAGCAGATGTATACTTCCAGCTTCAGCATAAACTGAGCTGCCCTCTTAAAGACAGAGTGTCTGAAATCAACAGAGCTGAAACTCATTAAAGATCCAAATCTGAATTTATCAAAGTAATGAGAACTTCAGACCTTACTGACTAAAGACTTTTTATCTGTATGTTTACTGCCCCTGGATTGTGTGGATTATTACTGGAATTCTTAGAATCTAATTACATTTGAACTTTTGGGTTTGAGCCAAAAACGAAAAACGCAAGTGTTTTCCTCCTGACCCATCCTTGTAGCTTCCCAAGAGTTAACTGCCACAGCCAGGCAGAGTTTCTAAAAGAAACACACAAGAGAGGCTGGAGAGAAAGACTGTAATTCCAGCCATCTCCAAACAGAATGACCACGGCAACCACATGATGTTTCACATGGTAGAGTAGCAGGTGCTGCCTGCCTGAGATTTATGATTGTAGTTTACGGTCATTATTCTTGCACTGAACATTTTAGACAACTAATAAAATTAAATTTCAAAAGCAAAATGGTACTTCAGCTTATTAAACTTGGATTCACCTTCTAAGGCTCCTAGATAACCCCAGAAGTGCCAAAATCATAGTCACAACCAGGGTTAATCTCTGTAACAGTGACGAAAAATAACACAGCAGAATTTCAGTTCCCTACATGGAACCTGCAATACAGTACAAAGACGCAGGTATGAGATGTCTTAGCTGATGACTGCATTTCTGGCCTGATGCAATTCAAGGAGTTCGAGGATACATAACCCCTATCAAGGCCAAATTTCAACTATTATTACCCAGAAATTCCCGCCTGGCACAAGTGGTCCATCGGCAGACAGAACAAAGCAGATGTCTGTATGTAACTCAGCCACAATTCTGCACATCTCTGTATGTAACTCAGCCACAGTTCTTCATGTGGAAATCCTAAATAAGAGATTCATCTCTGTATGTAACTCAGCCACAATTCTTCATGTGGAAATCCTAAATAAGAGATTCTGAAGCATGTGCTGTGAAATCTGTACTGCAAACTTCTGGCATTCAAGACCATGTATTGGGCTAACAGTAAGACTGATTTAAAATCATAAGCTTAAACTACTAAAGCTCAAGAAACTTAGGAAACCAATGAGCTGACTAGAAACTTTTATAACTTTATTTTGTTATGAATATTTTTTACTTTTGAGAAAAAACTTCTATTCCTTCAGATTTTGTAGAAATGCAAATTTATTTCTACCTGCATCTGTTCAACTTGCTCTGAGCATGGCCCACTCCTACTGATCTTCAACCCCTTCATACAAAGAGCACTTGGAGGATTAAATATGCTGGGATCATAAATATTCCCTCCTTAGTTCCTCTGCTGGCAAATAACTCGAAGAGAAAAGCACGCAGACACATTCCTGACACAAAGCAAAGAGCAAAGTCCAGTTGCATAATATTAAATCAAATGACTATTGGGTTTTTTCTCTCCATGAAGAAGACATTAGCAGGATACAGCAGCACCTGCTGGAGGGTACAAAAACATCACAGATAAAATCATAGAATCATAGAATCGTCTAGGTTGAAAGAGACCCTTGGGATCATCGAGTCCAACCATCTACCCTACTCTACAAAGTCCTCCCCTACACCATGTCCCTTAGCACTGCATCTAAAATGCGGAATACGAGCATAGTGTATGAGTATTGTTTAAAAATAAATAAATACAGTTGATGTGGATTTCATTAGTCAGAAATAAGAGTTACCTCAGTTCTCTTTTCCTCAGCCCTCCTTCAAAAACAAAGTATCATTCAGCTCCAAGATCCAGACTTCACTCTTGTGATAGAGTGATAAAATCCCAGAGTAAATTTGACCACACTTAAGAATTCATCCAGGTGAAAATCAGCTGCATCTCAAATCACAGTATACGAACCCACCACTGGTTTACAATCCTTATTATTCATCTTCAGGGAAGACAGAGATACTTTTCGTGCCCTAATTCAAAAGCTACATGATAACAAATGAGATGAAAACTGAGGCATCCACATTGTAGCAGCACCTGCTGGAGGGTACAAAAACATCACAGATAAAATCATAGAATCATAGAATCGTCTACTATTGGTTTTTTTTTTCTCCATGAAGAAGACATTAGCAGGATACAGCAGCACCTGCTGGAGGGTACAAAAACATCACAGGTAAAATATGGAATACGAGCATAGTGTATGAGTATTGTTTAAAAATAAATAAATACAGTTGATGTGGATTTCATTAGTCAGAAATAAGAGTTACCTCAGTTCTCTTTTCCTCAGCCCTCCTTCAAAAACAAAGTATCATTCAGCTCCAAGATCCAGACTTCACTCTTGTGATAGAGTGATAAAATCCCAGAGTAAATTTGACCACACTTAAGAATTCATCCAGGTGAAAATCAGCTGCATCTCAAATCACAGTATACGAACCCACCACTGGTTTACAATCCTTATTATTCATCTTCAGGGAAGACAGAGATACTTTTCGTGCCCTAATTCAAAAGCTACATGATAACAAATGAGATGAAAACTGAGGCATCCACATTGTGACATGAGACACCAGCGTGCTGGCCTGCTCCCCGTGTTCGTGCCCTAATTCAAAAGCTACATGATAACAAATGTATCCAGGTGAAAATCAGGTCCATCTCAAATCACAGTATATGAACCCACCACTGGTTTACAATCCTTAGAATTCATCTTCAGGGAAGACAGAGATACTTTTCGTGCCCTAATTCAAAAGCTACATGATAACAAACGAGATGAAAACTGAGGTGTCCACATTGTGACACGAGACACCAGCGTGCTGGCCTGCTCCCCGTGTCCTGTGCTGCTCCCTCCCTGTTCCCCAGCCAAAAATGCTCCAGCAAAGGAGCAGGGCAGACCAGCTCTGTGCATTCAGTGAAATGGGACTTCTCTCCTGCAGAGAAGTGAGAGGAAGAGGTTGTATGAGGCTAGAGAGCAGAAAAAGGTCTGAGCACCACTTTGTGCTCCTTTCTCCATTGGAAAATGAAGCCCTCTGAGGAGCAGTCCCAGCCCCACGGCCATAAGAACGGAAGGCTACAAAAAAAAGACCATCAGTTTCATCCGTTCCCTAAATTCCTCTACTTCCAAATCTAGAAAGTGTTGAATTAATATAGTAGTTAATAATACCAGTACTTTCCACTGTTAGTTCTGCAATTCAAGTTGTGTCTCTTACCATTGCATAGACCACCCATACCTGTGTGAGCCACCCAGTAACACTGGTTACTTGCTTTGCAGAAATGCAAATAACCATAAGCAGCAGAATTCATATAAAGACAAAGAGCACAAGCAATAGAACTCCTTGTTTTCAAGGCTTATTTTTTTCTTCATGACTGAATTTCCATTTTTATTCTAACCTTATTCTTTTTAAAGCAAGAAATAGGAGAATCAAGATGCCCATAGCTCCAGTCAGCATACATAAGACAAGTTACAGTCAACCAGCAAGATCTCTCAGGTCTCATTTTTAGAAACTTTGTTTCTAGTAAATTTAGCTGTCTATTGTTCAGCACCTAGATTAAGATAATCACTGATTCTTTCAACAGTCCAATCGACAGGGATGGGCATCTCAGAGTATGTGATAAAAAGAAGTGGAAAGAATTACGTCAGAAAGAGACTAAGTATATTCTGGAGATGGTCCTTATTACTGCAAAATTCAGTCAGCTGAGCTCCCTAAAATAGGTGTTTTTAGACAGCAAGGTTGGAATTCGCCTACACTTAAAAGCCATCAAAACTCATGCTAGGAATCTAGGTAATTGCCTGGTTCCCTCTACAGAGGTACACAGGCCTGAGTTCAGAAGCCCAAACACACACAGGCATTTAATGCTAATTAAGGTGTTTACTAAGACCAACTTGATTTTATCTGAAGGACGGCAAATATAGTAAGGACCCTGACATGCTTAGAATATTATGTTAAAATCAGACTACTGAAAGTCTATCTGTTC